AACTAGGTCATAAAACGGGAAAAAGGTGGATATCAGGGTCGTTGGTTGATTACGAATTCGGGTGACACAGCAAAAGCAATGTGAGAATCATATGAAATTCTTTAACAGTTCGATTTTAGTGAATTAGTTGTAATATAGAAGAAAAATGTTAATCTCTCGTTATTTCTATTGATGCCGCCCCGATATCATTAGAGACCACTAAACATTTGTTTTATTGTTTAAGGTGGCGGCGGCGGCGGCTTTAACGCTAATGGGGGAGGAGGCGGTAAAGGTGGCAAAGGATTTCTGAACGGAGGGAAAGGTGGAACGCATAACGGTGGGTTCGGAGGTGGCGGCTCAAATCCAGCTTACTATGGGGGACCTGGCGGGGGTGGAGGTTACTCTGGGGGAGCTGGAGGTGACAACGACAATCTCTCTTGTGGCGGAGGAGGCGGATCTTTTAATAGTGGAACAAATCAGGAAAATGAATGTTGTTATAATACGGCTGGAAATGGTAGAGTGACTATCACGCTTATCAAGTGATCAATACACATGGCAACAATATTCGCACAAAATATAGTTGCGGTATTTCACATAATCTCATAATTCTTAGAAAGACAAATTATAGCTTATGGCATATTGCTGTACTATTGTAAACCAGGAATTCTCAGATGAAGCAGCGTAACAATCTACTTCCTTGGAGAAGTAGATTATTGTAAACCAGGAATTCTCAGATGAAGCAGCGTAACAATCTACTTCCTTGGAGATTCGCAGGAAGCACCGAAATAATCCATCAGAGAGTACAGCATACAGTACTGGAACTTTTCACGCGTTTCAGTTTCTCTATGGCGGCGTACTTTCCCTGAATGCTCTCCTAATATAATACTTGTTACTTAAGTGATCAGTTTTTTTATTTAGTTGTATTTGTATTTGAGTGGATTGTCACATATAGATGTGGACTGCATTAACACTGGAGTAAGTTTTAGTAATACCCCGTTGTTAAGTGTTCTATGTTTTCAGGTCTGATTTTCACTATTGCTTAAATAGTGCCCTTCACTGCGAGGATCCTGCACAAATACGTTTCTATAACCGCAGTTCAGATATATGAATTTCATATACTCGTTGTGTTTGATTTACCATCTTACGGGTTTATGTCGAATTAATTTGATGACCTACTCCCAGTTCGCTTGTTAGCTCATTTGGTAGAGCGCTGCCCTAGTATCGCAGAGGTCAGTGGTTTGAATCCCGTACAGGCCTGAATTTTTTCAAGTCTGATATTCACTATTTCTTAAATAGTATTCTTTACTGCGAGGATCGTGTTTAAATACATCTATGTTTACTTGCGATAGATTTCGGCTGACCCTAGAGTTCAAGTTGGTCCCTTTTTTACTTCCCACCATTTTATCGGAATTTCCCTCAGGTCTTGAAGTTCATTAAGATCGAGTTAACAAGAAACGGTTTGCTTGTCTAGGCTCTACTATCTTTTGACCACCGTGCAGCCTGTAACACATCCTAAAGGTAGTTTTGCCACAGACAACCACCTCGCCTCGATGGGTTCTCTTGTTTACTTCGGTATGGGGCTCCGCTTGGACCCTTCGCGTGCAGCAGATTTATCTGGCATAATTCTCATTACCTATATACTAGACGGTGTCTTAACTGTAGGAGGAAATTAAAACCTGACCACTCTCGTAAGTTAAAGAGTGTGAAAGGTCAGAGGAGCAGCTCGTAACCCAGCTTGATTGAAAATTTAACTAGTCCTTAAATTATTACGTCGAAACAAGCGCTTACTGCGACCATACGATGCAATGCTTTCAAAGGGTGCAGGTAAATCACTTGTCTATGCTTTCAAGAAACGCCAATATCTCTTTTTGCAAAGGACATGGAAAAAAATTATTTCTTGCATCAATAGAAGTCATCAGAAGCGTCTGTAGTTGGTGGAGGATTTGCATTATTCTTCACAGTTTCTTGGCTTCTGTACATTTCTGCAACCTGGATTTAAGGAAAAGATTTCAAAGGGCATTCTAAAACAATTTTCTGTCGTTAGGGACGCTTTCGAAATCTCCGAACTTAAAATCCCGCAAGTCACCTACAAAGTATGAATTCAAAAACTGGTTCAGAGAACTAAAAATCTCGGAAGGTGAGTTTGTAATCGTCGGACCGCAAACCCTTAAAGTGCCCGTGAGATCAAAATTTCCGTACATCATTTTTTTCCATTTTCGTGTTCAGTGTGTCTCCTTCACCTAGTCCGCAAAATTTCAGTTTAGACCGAGCACCAAAAATATCTTTTTTTTCGGGCCATTAAATCCACGATTTCGCGTCCGCCATTATTTGATCATGTTGCGGAAGTTGATCGCAGGACTCAGAGGAAGTGACGTCAAAGGCTCAACGCGAAAATCTCACAAGGCAAAATGTCAAGCAAACATAACAGAGTGCTTTACTCTATTCTTACAAAAACTAAACAAAAATGACTGGGCATCGATGCGTAATTCAAAGCTGAAGTAATCGTGCAGACCATGCTGCAGGTATTTCTCTGCATCGNAGTCAAATTCATCCCAACGCCCGTGACAAACGAATTTAAAATCAGGCCAACTTTTGCGAGATTTATTCGCAAGACGAATGCGCCTCCGTTACACCTTTCACGGACAAAACAAAGAGCCACTTCTGTTTCATATCAAACTGAATGCCACGGGTTCAGTCTTCTATCGCCCTTCAGAGCTACTTGGAAAATTGTCATAACGCTACGTGCAGAGTGCATCTACGCCAAAAAATACTTTGAAACGCAATGAGGTCACGGCTCTAAAAGAGTTGAAACAAACTCTGCTTTAAACCTCACCGAAGCCTCACAACAATAGTCTTAAGACAGAAAAAACAAAAGAGGCGAAAGCGCAACTCAACAACAGAGTTCACTTCTAACCTCTCAAAGCACCGATAGTAAAAAACACGTAGGAAAGGGTTAATGAGATCATTGACCAAATGCATCGAGGAAAACACATTGATGGCTTTGAAATGGCTTTCACAAACTCCCATATCCGCCTTCGGATACACAATTAGCCACTGCCGAAAAATATTTTTACTAATCACCCGGTCATTTCTTACAAAAATAGAAAATCCCTTACGACAAGCAAAAATACAGTTCGAAGGCGATAAAGCGATGCGACCACAAAAGCCACATGGGGAGTCCGTGCCGTTCTGTGTTCATCTTTATTCGCATGGCAAAAATTCATCGTTTGTCGGCGCAAAACTGTCCACAGAAGCTTCAGATGATTCCTGGGACAATTCATCGTCTGAAAAAGTCGACATTTCCCGACTGACGACGAAACAGTTCTCAAAAAAGTGATGTGTGTGATTCTCTGTGCAGCGAACAAAGAGAGTTGTGACAAAGCAAAGCATAAGTTTGTTGAGCCTTTGACGTCATGATGACGTTTTTGCGGGCTTGGCTGGAACATGTTTTCAGCAATGGCGGACCATTTTTGGAGGACTTTGAAGCGGTGAAAATTGGTCATCGAAGGTTTGTTTTGAGTTTTTAATGGTAAAAAGGGTCTTAACTTGACCCAATTCAACATTGTGTAAACAATTTAGGCCAAAATAAAATGGTCAATTTTCGTCTCAGGGGCACTTTAACTGGCTCAGTGTTGTTTATAACCTCACCAGCGGGTATATTTTTGTTTGACCCTCACTCGTACCAAATGGTCAACATCGTTTTTGTAAATGCAATCACATGAATTCGAGTGCAATTTGGAATAAATAAGCACGAGTAACTGTTTTCAAAGACTAACAAAATTGCATGAACCCGTAGGGCAAGTGCAGTTTGTGGTCTTTGAAAAAATTTACAAGTGCCTACTTATTCCAAATTGCACGAGAAAATCATGCGATTATGTATTAATAATATACATGAAAATATACGAGGTAGCTTCTCATAACTATGCAGAAGAAAAGCGCGCGCATCACGTGCAAAATAATTTATTCAAACCCTTAAGTGACATTGACCTTGACATTGACCAATCAGAATATCTGGTTTGTTACTTTCTTTGGACTGAATTAACCCTCTTCTGCACTGAATTACCTGAAAACTGCATTCATCTTAACCAATCAGAACTGAGAAATTTTTTCATGTATATTATTATGTAAATAAAACTGTTTCCAACCTGTGAGCTGTCCGTGGCTTGTTCAGGTTTCTTATCATCTCGGATCCTCAAAAAGCGTGGAAATCGCAGCGATATTCCCTTGACAGGATCAACCTAACAAACAATGAGGAGGAAGAGGAACTCTTCTGTAAGTTGATACGTAGACACAATTGAAACCTACTCTGGCTCTTTGACCTGGAAATACATTGGCTAAGTGGTGTAATCAAAGATGCGCTAGACAGTTTCTGTTCCTCAATTCAAAATATATACGTTTGGAATTGAACTGACAAGTGTTTAATTCAGAGATTCCAAATCCAAGATTGCAGCCCTGAGAAACAAACAAATATCTCGCACATTCTCCACCCGTCATAAAAGGGATTCCACCATGGATATTACGACTTATTAACCGAACGTAACCACCCCCTACTTCCCTGTAACTGTTACATCTAGAGCTGTAAAATACCAACAGATCCATCCTCTCCATTAAGCCTCCTCCCCTCCACCCTCTTCCTCTCGGTTCTCATGTGACGTTGGCAATTTTAGGCTCAATAGTCCTATTCACAGTTGTGGGCTTGGTGGCCAAGCCTTTGAAGAGGAGTGAGGCTAAGGGTGACCTTGTTACGAAAGAGATGTTGCTGCTTTTCAAATGCAAATTTCTTTGTTATCATGCTAAGTAGATACAGGTCTCTATCACAACAGGGTCACCCTTAGCCTCACTCCTGTTCAAAGGCTTGGCCACCAAGCCCACAACTGTAAAAGGGACTATTAGCAATTTTAAGATCTGCATCAAGAAAAAAATCTACTTTGCAACTCCACATTTTACCCTTACATTTATGTTTGGAGCCCCGCTTTCCATAGAGCATTATGTCAATGTTTTTCAACCAGAGGAAAAAAAGTAGACTTGCATTTTTTGCCACCCTCTTTCCCATAGAATGTTGGACCAACTAAATGACATATAATAAGCATCATACAAACATAGTAATTACAGACATAGTAATTAAAAACATAGTAATTACAAACATAGTAATTACAAACATAGTAATTACAAACATAGTAATTACAAACATAGTAATTACAAACATAGTAATTACAAACAGTAATTACACATGTAGAGTAATTACAAACATAGTAATTACAAACATTGTAATTACAAACATAGTAATTACAAACATAGTAATTACCAGGCCCAAAGCTGCTTTATGAACAGGAGAGACTGAAAGATCTGCTGCTCTGATTTCCCAAACCTACAACACAAAAAACAAAGGAGCAACTTCACATTTACACTCACATAAAATTGCACCCGTTAAGCTTACCGGAGGATACACTTTAAGTACCACATGTATATGTATGTTATATATTGCAGTTTTAATGGAAGACAAAACCAGTTGCAAAATTAATGTAACTAAAGTCACAAACTAAAACAAATCTAATCCTCAGAATCCATGTCAGGCAAAATAGATTTGTCACCTGAACTGGGACAAACCAATGATCAGGAGCCAGATTATCATCATAGCGATAATATGCCTTTGGATGTGGAATCACTTGATCTTTAAAAAACTGGTAATGTTTGTCAAGTAGCTCATCTGTAAAACCAGTTCCAATCTGAGATGAAAAAATTAATATTAAAAAGAACATTACCATTGTAACATGGGAGCAATTTATGAGTTGATTAAATAATTTGATAGATTGGGTGAGGGTAAATCTGGAAAGGACTGTTTTCTGAGACAATGACAGTCATATTTTGACAAAGTAGAAACATTGTGTAATTTTTTTTCTCTACCTTACAGATAGTTTGGAATTCTTCATTCTCAGGATCATAGCAGGCTAGCAGGTATCCACCGTATGAGCCAGTTCTTTTGCCTTTACCCAGATAACCTCCAATGACAACTACATCTAAAGTATCTCCAACACCATTTAGGTAGTCTTTCTTCAACTGAAAGTTGGGAAGAAGGACTGATTTACAAGAATCACAAAGAAAAACTATTTTTCTTTTTCCTACATTGGTTTTGCCTTAGTTACAACATAGTATATAAGATTGAAATTAGCTGCTAAAATAACGGGGCTTATCTTCTTAGTATAATTATGGACAGCAGCTTCTCTTTACGACAAATACAAGACTATACAGTCAGTATATGGTTCTCGTTCCAACAAAACAAAGATAGGAATCATTCCAATATAGTAAAAAGAAAATTCCAATTCTGATTGTTGAAAATTACCAGTCTCAACGAAGGATAATTATAGTAGTTCCTTTTTACAGGAAACAATCACAGTTACAATATAATTAATAAATTAGCTAGGATTTATAACGCATAAAATGCAACATGTACAGCACTGGAAATGTGTAATATTCTGTTTCTCAATAATCAGAGGTTGTGAAGAGTTAAACTTACCTTCAACCAATTATGTGAACGTTTAGCAATTTCATATGTGGCATCCATGTCAAGGGTTTTAACCATCAGACCCTCACAATTACCTGATGAAGATAGAACAGAAGCAAAATCAATTCTGTCCTCTGACAGAAAAGGTAGTTAAATATTTGCTTGAAGTAATGGAGAAACAGTGAGCATTACAGCTTCATAGAATATGGTAGGATCCCAGATGTCTGAGTATTATAAAAGAAACCCTTAAAATTGTATTTAACAGCTTCATTAAAAATCAATTAGTACCTTTGATTGAATTATCCAAGAATTCTGCAATATCATCTGCATTTATTGAATCAGAACTCTGAGCAAACATGAACTCCTGTAATAGTTATAAAAACACATTGTAGTAATTGCTTGTGCAGTATTTTTTTTTTACACTGAAATCAAAACAACCATGCATGTTGAAAAATTTCCCCTACCCCCTCAACTTCTACGAGTGATGATCGGAGAGCTTCTCTACGCTTTTGAAATGTTTCCTTGATGTATGACTGAAATAAACCAAAAATTAAATTAATTTCAAGATTTAAAGGTGAAATTATTGGGGATGGAGAGGGAGCACTTCTCTTTTCAATCAATAATCCTAGCCACATGCAAGCAAGAGAAGCTCTTGCCTTAATTGTCTTTTCTTACAGTTGGCTTTACCTTTTAGTATGGAGAGGAGTACCTATTTACTCCTCAACTTACTGTACACCCTTCAAATTTCTAATCTCCCAACTAAACTGGTACATTCCTATCCCTTCTACCTTAAATTTTGAGAGCGAACAGATTTATTGTTTGAAATGTGGAACATTGCACCAGTGTTGCAGAAGTTATGGGTTCTACTCCTGTCCAACCCTAATTTCTCTCTTAGGGCTTTAGTTTCACTATAACTGCTTTTCAAGTTGTGTTCATTACTTCAAAGATTACTCTCATTTCATCTAAGTATATTTTAGTCCGCAGAATATCAATAAAATGGCTTTCAAATTAAAGTTATACCAAAAGCAAAATCTACTTGTACATTTTTAATTACACACCTTTCCATTCAAATATAATAAATCAAATGCATAGACACAAACTTGAACTTTTATATCTGAGGCATTGGCATCCTTTAAGGCAAACAAACTGAAATAAGTTAACCAAGCAATTTAGCAATACAAAAATTGAAATCTATCACCATATGCATCAATAAATTTTAGTTTATTGGTCAAGTCAGAAAAAGGGTGCTGGATTTGTTGTCATACAAAGTAAAACATAATGTCTAGTTGACACTGGTGAAAATAGGGTGAAGACTAAGTGACAGTCAGGATGAAACCTGAAATGTTGACAACTGCTCTAAATATTTTCACCAGAGGCCCATAAACAACTGACTGTTGTATGTTGTATACAAGTTCGATTTGTAAATCACCTTTCTTTTACGTGTGCTAAGAATCTGAAAAGGCAGAATCTGTTTCTTCTCTCGGTCCCACGCCACAGCTTCAGCATCAATGATGCAGGACTTGACCTTATCACCTAAAACCTACAATGTACAAGGAAAAAGAAAGAACTTTGCAGTGAATGGTGTGGTATAGCTGTCCATGTGAGTATGTTCAACTGTGGAGAAAGATGAGATGTTTATTTTTTTGAGTAAGTGCTCTGCACATTTATACTAAAATTGTTACTTGGCATAGGTTATCATGCTAAGGGAGAATATCAACTGCTGTATCTGTTGTGCAGCACACATAGCACTTGGGCATTGCTTGTGAGTCTGGGTAATAGATTGCAAGGACATTCCAAATGTTAGTGCAAAACTTCTGAGGTTTTTCTTTAAAACAGTACTAAAAAGTTGCAAAGTGCTTATAACCTCTCTTTAGAAGGCTACCTAAGTTATAACCACAAGTAGAAAAACCAGGGCTTGACACTAACAGTAGCCCACTAGCCACAGACTAGTAGAAATTCATTTTCGGCTAGTGGTTTTCAATTTCCACCAGCCAGTTTGGCTAGTAAACAGACTGAAATTGTTGTAACATCTAAAAACATCTAAGATGTCACTAGCCACTAGGCTAGTAAGTTGAAAAATTAGTGTCGAGCCCTGATTAAACACTGTCCTACAAGTAAATAAATACAAAGTGTGCACGAGATTCTGCTCAACCTAATAATTATATGTAAAGGAAAGGCACTAACTTTTGGCATTCTCTCAATAATGTCAGGATACTTTGATGTGTTGTCCTCCTGGTTTCGGCTGTAAATGTGAATTTCTCCACTTTCTAGTACGTGGATCTAGATAGAAGGAAACGAAACGATTCTGTTAGTCCAAATGTTGCAGTCACTAACCCCTTACACCACCATACATATTCTCCATACTGTTCTCTATACATTTGCTATGTGGCTGTCAAGGAGAATATGTACCGGAAATGTTTAATAACCTCTTTAGTAGATGATCATTTCTGTTATTCCTGGGACCAGAATGAGCAATACAAGTCAGAATGATTTGTGAGGAGAAATTACATGCTAGTCATTCCTAAGGGGTCAAAGGGATAAGGGCAAGCAGTAAGGGTGAATGGGCAAACAATGGACTTTACCCACTGTTGCAGTCCTTGTGAGGCAGTTTCAGTTCATCCCCTTAGTATTTCACAGAAATTATGTGAGCCAGGATCTATAGACCTCAACAATGCTGACATACCAACTGTGCACAACAACATCAATTAAGAATAATTCCTTACCTGAGCTCGTTCTCCATCATACTTATATTCACATGTGAATGCTGCATCCTCAAATCTTTTAAACACTTCTTCCACTCCTTTGGAAGGATGAGCCAGCATTGGCTTCAGTGGAATACCTGTGTAAAAATCCAAGCTGTACAACTCCAAACAGCCTTCACCCTTGCAAAAATGGCTATGCAACACGAACACATACTATAAGTTAACCACTAAAACAAAGTTTGCAACAAACAGCAACAAAAAATTGGGCATTCTTTTCCCTTTCTAAGGGCAAGGTAAAGTGCAGAAATACATACCTACATACATACAGGAACGAACTGGCGAGTGCGTGCCGGCACTCATCTAAATATCTGATAAGGCTGCTCAAACCACCTACTTAAAAGGTCCGTTAGTCAACTAGTGCCTTATCCACCTGACGAGAGAGGACTTTTCCTTTCGAAACAGATCTGTAGTATCAAGTTTTAATTTTTATTTTCCTAAATAATCGTTTACATACATACATATGTACGTTAATTGACCACTCCCCCATAGGGCTTTTCAGGGCCATTACAACACCACCAAACCATCCCACCCCAGGGGGAGGACATCCACCACACAGTGATCTCATGCATGGGAAATTAACGTCTCCTACCCATAACCCTGCAGAAGAAAGGGCCTACGCTTTATTCGTCCTTATCCAAGAAGACTAGAATATCTATCCATTTCTTGATATTATAGAAAGATAGCAAATTCTCCTCAGTTATTTTAAGACCATGAGTATTTGTCCGGCCGGGGCACGAACCCTTGACCTCTCATACAACACAACCCTGTGCTCTAACCAATTGAGCTAACCGGGGGTTGGTAAATAAAATACCCTTTGAATGTGACTGCCTTCCAGTTAGCTCAATTGGTTAGAGCGCCGGACTGTTGAGTGGAAGGTCGACAGTTCAAGCCCCGGCCGAACCAACACTCAAGGTCTTAAAATAACTGAGGAGAATGTGCTACCTTTCTATAATATCAAGTAATGGATAGACGTTCTAGTCTTCTCAGATAAGGATGAATGAACCGTAGGTTCCATCTCCTGCATCTATTAATTAGTTAATTTGGTTAGGCAGGGGACATTAAAGAACCCACTCACGAGATTACTGTGATGTGATCTGGCCCATTTACTGGAAATTGGGGGCATCTGTTAGATTTGCCTTTATTCATTGAAAACTGCTACAAGCAGTTTGGTAAAGTCCCCTACACAGTGTTGTAAGAATGGCCCTGAAAAGCCCTATGGAGAGTGGTCAATTAACCTAGTATGTAAAATGCGAATTATGTGTATCCATCCCAGGAAACTTGCCTGACTGGTGAGATTCATGCATTTTACCTGGTGTTAGATGACAGTGTTCTGGAAGTGTTTCTAGTCCGTGTTCCAGAAGTGATGGAATCAGTTTGTTATAGCTGGGCATTTCACTGCCAAAAAATGAGGAAATTATTATATACAAGGTATTATATTTAGTTTTGTCACACTGTTAAGGTATTTGGTCTAGACTTTAACCTTCAGTTGGGTTAAATTTAGCAAAGGTTTCTCAAGGATTGACATGCAAGAACCATATTTCTTACCAGTAGCAGGTCTTTACAATTAAAGCTGCCTCATCTTGTTTCTTTTTCAGCCCATCACCAGAAAAATTCTTAGCATTGTCAATAATAGGGGAAGGGAACTCTGCAAAAACAAGAAAAAGAACAAATTAAGGAAACATTTAAACAGCTGGAGCTTTGTGATAATTAGGTAGTTTTGCCTCTCATTTCATAAAAATGTTTCATTAGATTATTTTGATACCTTTACTTGGAGGGGTGAGAAAGACTGCATGTCCAAGGGCTGTTAAAACTGATTGTTCAGCAAGACCAATTCTTAACTTGCCCCCTAAAGATCTGAACAAAAAAAGCTTTTTGGTTAAGTTTACAGAATGACTCATCTAACTTAGTTTAATACCATACTCAACTTCAATGAAAAGGTAAAACGATTCATATTGATAATTATACATATTCAAAAGTTATTCTCAATCTAAAGCCAGTATTTCAAGTCATTCCATATACAATCAATTTTTACTTTACAAATAATTAATAACCTACCTGATTAAATATCTTGCTTCTGCATCACGACAAGCTACAAACATGCCTTTGATTTTCTCTGACTTTCTTGTCATAGACTGTGACAAGTGTGAAAAAATACTTTGATTTTATGCAGAGAACTATTTTTTTCTCACAACTCTAAATTTTAAGATAAATGACAAAATTAATGTTTACAAATTAGTCAGCTGTAATTCACCATCAATGCCATAACAGGGAAAGCAACTTTACACTTTGTCTAATGACTTTTTAATTAAGCCCCCATATTTCCAGTTAATTACCAATCAACCAATAACATAACAAATTTTTGTAATCAACTGTCAAAGGCAATACATCCATTGAGACAATCTATGTATAATAACTTCTACCCCTTTGCAAATGTTGGGTACAAAGGCTTACAAAGCTATATTACCATTAAGTACTGACTTGGCTTATACTCATGAATAAAGGCTGATAGTTTCGAAAGAAACTGTTTGGGGCTGCGTTGGTGGGAGTAACGAAATAATTTGGATATATCAACAAAGTTGAAATGGTAAATTGGCCACCGTAACGATTACAAAGGCTGACGTTTCGAGCGTTAGCCCTTCGTCGGAGCGAAGACCGAAGGGCTAACGCTCAAAACGTCAGCTTTTGTAATCGTTACGGTGGCCAATTTACCATTTCAACTTTGTTGATATATCCAAATTATATTGGCTTATACTCACACTATGTCCTGTCATCATTGCAATTTCTTTCAGTTTGGTAAAGACACTTGAAGCAGTTAGCTTAGGTGGGGCAAACATGGTGCGCTGGGTGCTTCGGCAACTCTGATGGGTAAAAGAAAAACACCACTTACCAAGCAGATTGAAGTCCCTGCTTGAAATTTTGAGGGATGATAAGTTTTGTGCACTTAATGTATGATCAAGTCTTTGTGGGTACAATCAACAGTCAATATGAGTACATTAAATAATGTTGATACTCCTTGGTCAGATCAAAATCAGTTTGCTGAATTAATACCTCAGCTACTATTCCCAAATCTCCCTTTTCTCCAACATCGTACTTTATCTGTTGAAGGCTTCGTCCTAAGATAAGAAATTACACCATATAAATTGAAACACCATAAAACCCGAAAGAAAAGGTAAACTGTCTGGCTGCAAACTTTGAGACCAGATTCAACTTAAACAAATTGAATAAAGAGGAGAAAATAGGATTTTTTGGTTAAATTGGAATTGAGACTGCTTTTGTTGACTGAGTATTTTGGAGACAGTCCTCACTTTTTCACAATTTTCTTGGATAAATAACATCAATGTTAACCAAGAACTGCAACGAAAATTGTTATCATTAAGGAAATAAATTAGTTATCAGTCAATTAAAATAGATTACAAAACTTTCTGTGCACCTGTTGACTCTGCAACTGCTTTCATTAGAATGTTCTCTCCAATTCCAAGTTCAATTCCCTCATATGCTGGAGCCAGCTATGAGATATTGACAAAGAATGGTCAGGGAACAGTTCAAACATAGTTGTTCAGACATGTACAGTTGCCTTTAAATTATTATCACTATTTAACCCCCTAACAGTGACTGACATCTTACTTCTCGTTTCAATATCATGCCTGATTCAAACATCAACCTTTATAGACACCTGTTAATTATTGAAATTTCCTAAACATGTCATCCCGTTGCCTTTTCCAATATCATTTCTCAGCATTGTCTACGACCCATTTCTTCTGATTTTAGCTGTGAGAATTTGGTGTCAAATCCAGAAATGCAATGTTTAATGCATTTGCAACAGCCTTGCTTATGAAGTGTGGTGATAGCTACTAACAGTATGTACTTAACTTATTAGACTGTGTACTTCTTATAAATTATTACACGACACGGGCAGTCAGAGGGCCAATAACTAAAATCAACCAATCAAAATGCTCTATTGCCAGTCCCATATTTTCTAAGTATTGGACCGGGCACTGTCCCGAATGGTCCCGAATGATACCGCACTTGTGTCCCTTTGAACTTCAGTCGTGTAATAAATCTCTTATTAACCAAGCTTGCTCGGGACCGTACTGGAAGAATATCGGCCCTTGGTCTTTTTTGTACGGACCTTGCTGCACTCGGTCCATACTGTCAAGACCTCGGGCCGATATTCTCCCAGTACGACCCTTGCGCTTGGTTAATAAGATATATATATGGTCAAATGACTCTATCAATTGAGCTAACCGCCTCCCGGTTAGCTCAATGGATAGAGCGCTGGACTGTTGTGCGGGAGGTCGAGGGTTCGAGCCCCGGCCAGACCAACACTCAGGGTCTTCAAATAAAAATTACTGAGAAGAATTTGCTGCCTTTCTATAACATCATGAAATGGTTAGGTATTCTAGTCTTCTCGGATAGGGACGAATAAAATTAATGGAGGTCCCGTCTCCTGCAGGGTTGGGGTAGGAGACATTAATTTCCCACACATGAGATTACTGTGTGATGGATGTCCTCCCCTGGGGTGGGATGGGTGGGTTTATTGGGCCCACAGTAATTGGCGCAAGCTGTTGCAGTGTCCCTGCCGGTTGGCGAAATTAAATAAAATAAAATAAAATAAAACATCTGATGAGCAATTATTCATATTTTATACCCTGCTCATGTGAGGAAGTAGGCGATACCTTTGAATAGTACGTGCTCAATACACGTGCAGAGCTTAATACTGTAACAGTAATAATACCTTAATACCTTATTAAGACAGAGATAAACACATGGAAGGAGATCTTCTGGAGAAAGAACAATCACTGAACGGAAGAAGTTGCTGAGGATGGAGGTAATTTTCAACCTGTTTTGAAATACAATTTAACAAAATAAAACAATATTCAATAAATTTATTTAGATACTGTACAGTCTTCTTTCATCTACATAAACATTAATGCAAAGGTAAAAAAAAAAGGCATCTAAAGTTGTATTTGCCTGGCTGAAGTGTCTTCTATGGCATGAAATGTTTTGGCTACAGCCAAGTAAGGAACTCTGAAAAAGATAAGTTATAATCATGAGTCAATAATGGTACTGATAATACAGACTGACGTACATTTTTTTGGTCACTTATGAAGTGAGTTGATTACATGATGTATTTATTCAGCGTCTTGATACTCATGCGTGCTTCATGTATGAACAGGCATTAATTTCTATTACAGGCAATCATAATAGGCAAAATTATGGGAAAAGAAGCTATGCCTGCCATAAGTGAGGAATTTTCAGTGACAGAATATAATGATTGGGATAAATGAATAAAGGTAGGAGGGGTGCTTTCAAAGATTCAGTTTACATCACAGATTACACATTGCTCAAGTTAAATTATGCAGGGATTACAAGAATATGAGAAAAAAAGGTGCTTGCCCTTTAGGACTGGACTGAAATGATTGGACTTGTGAGGGGCTTTGTTCAATGGTTAGGTGAGTGAAGAGGAGTTACTTGCCTCGCAAGGAAATTTATTAGTTACACAGGTGATGGGATAGGGTGTGTTTTCAAGCCCTGAATCAAGAATACTTTGTTGGTGCTGTCAACTGTCTAACAAAATAAAACATACCATTTACTGTGGACAATTACTAACCTTTCTCCATGTCTCCAACAGGCATTTTGGATGGGGTGATAGTCACTTTTTTCTGGAGAATATTCAGTGGGCTTCACAAGTTCACTGAGCCCAGTTTTATTTGAAGAGCTGTAAAAAGTGGGGTACTTTAGTTAAAGACAAGGTTATGAACACTTTTTTTTTTAAACCAGATCTAAATGACAGTGGAGAGAGGAGTGTAAGATTATGTCTCAGAGTCTTCACCTAAACTTTCATTTAACCCTGTAACTCCCAAGATCTGATTGTTAATTTTCCACGCTTGCTGCTGCTAGTGATGGGAATGTGGTGTACAATCAAGACAATATCTTCTCTCCGATAGGTTTGAGTATTCTCAATACCTGTTTGCTGGATAGTGTATAGATTTAACAGAGAGATATTACAGGTTCATAACTTGTGAGACTTAAAGGTTTTGTACCTTTATTGTCACTCACTCTCTCTCACCTTGTTTTCTTTGTTGATGGATTGTCTCTGTCACTTTTACTCTTCTCTGTAAGTTTTTCATTGTTACTTTCTCCCTTTTTGGACCGTTTAGGAGCTTTAAGGGCAAAATCAGAAAGTTACAACTCCAGTGAGTTTTAAATCATTGACAGAGAGAGGGACATAATGTGTGAAGTTAAAACCTACAGTAGAGATACAGTAAATCAAAAAATCTTTGTTTCTATCCTTGTTTTAGCAGTCCTCCCTGTATTTTTTTCTTTATGCAGTAAATGGTTTGAACCTGGGGGTAACATGTGAAGGTGTAGTCTGATCGTCCGGGTGAGTGTAGTCCTGAGAAGGACTGTTGTTGGTGGTAGTGACTGACGTTTCGACAACCTGTGCGGAAGTCATCATCAGAGTCAAGTGAATGATTGTTGTCAGTAGAATGTTCTTATTCCAGTTCGTGTGAAATGATCGGTTGGTTTTGCCGTGATGTTATTGGCTGTAAGACTCAAGTGACATAAGTCGGTCGTGATTGGTCTGTTTCGATCTGTCGGTAAAGTTAGGTCGTTCTTTTTCGGTCATTTGTGATGTTTATGTCGTGAATGAGTCGTTTGTATGGAGCGGGTAGTTGTTGACATCTGTTTAGGGGAGTCTGTTCTTAGTTAGTAAACCAGCTTTCCAGAGTCAGTTGTTGAAAATAGTCAGTGCTGTAGGTTAGGCATTGCGCAGAGTCCCAGTCAATGTTGTGGTTGGTAAGTCGATGGTGTTCAGCAATGTGATTGCTGACATCAACTTTCCTTGTCGCCCGTCTGTGTTCACTCTGGAAAGCTGGTTTACTAACTTAGAACAGACTCCCCTAAACAGATGTCAACAACTACCCGCTCCATACAAACGACTCATTCATGACATAAACATCACAAACGACCGAAAAAGAACGACCTATCTTTACTGACAGATCGAAACAGACCAATCACGACCGACTTACGTCACTTGAGTCTTACAGCCAATAACATCACGGCAAAACCAACCGATCATTTCACATGAACTGGAATGAGAACACTCTACTGTCAACAATCATTCACTTGACTCTGATGATGACTTCCGCACAGGTTGTCGAAACGTCAGTCACTACCACCGACAACAGTCCTTCTCAGGACTACACTCACCCAGACGATCAGACTACACCTTCACATTTTTTTCTTTCTCTTCAATTTATGGCTTGCATGCTTTATGTCTGGACTATTAAAGGGGAAACCTAAATTCACAATGTACCAATACACAAAATATACAGTGTACTTACAGAAGAAGTCAATGAATGCACCCTTAGCCTTGTTTACACCCTTGGAGTCTCGATGGCTGGATACATCTTCTCCCTTCTCCTTCTTTATCTCCACCTCAGAATCTTCTTCTCCACTTTCCTTAATAGACTTACTCTGTTCTTTTGTTTCATTGTGTTTTGAGCTTTGCAGCTTCATGTCATCTTTTTCACCTTTAGTTCCATCACTTTTGAAATTTTTCTTCAGATTTGTTTTTTTCTTCAGTTTTCCTTCTCCAGTGTCTTCTTTTGTCTCTGTTGATTGTTTGCCATTTTCTTCCTCTCTTTCTCTTCGTTTCTTTCTACCCTTAGATTCTGATCCCCCTGCTGTTTGATCTTTCCCACACTTAACAAAAGCCTCATCCTTGTCTCCATCACCATTATTAACAAAGTTTAATCCTCTGTCTACTTTTTCTCTTTTCACTTTATCATTAGCAGGTTTCCCCGCCTTGTCAAGATTTTCTCTTTGCTTTTCCTCAGAATCCTGTTCTGGCTTTGCTCTTTTTACAGCCTTGGCCTAAAAAGTTAAGTTGTAAGAATGCAATAATCATTTCAAAAATTAAAGTACTCTGAAACCATACCTTTTATTGGTCACTTTTAAACATTAAAGCTCTTGAGGACTTTTTCTTTTTTCAATTTTAGAAGGAATTACAAGCAATCTTGCTAATGCTTTACCATGCTCCTTTACAAAAGACATTGAAGATAATCAGCATATGCATACAATTACATTGTACCTGATTTTCCACTGTAGATTCCTCCTCACTTGAGGCCTTCCTTTTGGCAGGTTTTCTTAATGCTGTAAAAAGACATGAAGGATATTAGTGCTCTCTACATGTAACAATTATCAAGGATGTAGTCCTTCAAAACTAAGGTGTTACAGGCAACTAACTATTGTTTTGGTTAACTAATAAAACTATACCAAGTTAACTGATAGCAGTATTAAAACTGCAGGCTTAAAACTTTCATCTACAAACCTGTCTTTCTTTTAGGAATATGCATCATCTCATTTTGTGGAGACCTGACTTCTATAAATTTTCTTTCTTCCTTAGTATCACCAGTTTCACAATGTTCTGTTTCAGCAACTTCTTGCGATAGAGTATCTTGTTTCAGGATATCAACATGTTGATCTTGCTTAGATGGCACAAAATCTTTTGTATCATTTTCTTCATCGCTAGTATCATCAAGTATGCGGCGTGATTTTTGTTTGCGAGTCTTTTTGACAGGAGGTGAATCTAAAGCTGCAGTTTGTGGTTTGAACTTAAGTGGGGTCCTTTCCTCTTTCACCTTGATGTCTCCATTACTGTAAATCAGTAAAATTCAAATTGCATTGTTACAGAAAACCCTTAACAGACCTCTAAGAGATATGGAATAACTCTTTGTGGTGCACAATCACAACCACAAAAACCTGTGACCATACATAGAATTTCAAAATAATAGGTGGTCTATAAGAAAATGTTTACAGAGACATAGCTCCACTTCATACAAAAAAAATATACAAATCTCATTATGAAATATGGTAGACTAAAAAAGTAAAACAAACTCAGTCAAAAATAGGGGATCCTGACTGCAGTCACCTTGGCCTCCTATCTGCTGTATAAGCCCCTGCCAAATCYYCCMYCMYCCCCTCCACAGCACTCCAGCCATTATCTTAGGCCATAATAGAATAATAACGTTCTTATGAAGTCTTGGAGCCTCATAATAATACTACGCAATCGACATAGCTCTTGATCATTTGAATATACCACGCATACCTGGCCACTTTTTCTTCGTTCTTTTCTTTACTCTTTGTTTTCGCGCACGGAGAAAAGAATGCACTGAAGGGACGTTAATTTTACAACGTTAGTTCGTCACCACAACATTTACAATTTCAATGCTACTCTTTACTTAAATCACGCACTTATGATTCAAGGAGTATAAACTCACGTTATTCCTCTTTGAGCCATTCCTGTGGTTTAGTGATCGTAATAAAACTAGTCTATCACTTTACAATTCAACACGTACAAGTTCAAGAAACATTTCCTCCGACAGAGAGGTTCCCGCCATTTGTTGTATGAATAAAGAGCAGCCCTGGGTACGATGTTTGGTGTTTCCTTAAGGTCAGGGGGAGGGGAGGGTTAGTGGAAGCGGAACTTGCTCCAAATTGGCTCATATATTCTCTTTTTTGATGTATGACTGTTCAAAATGATCGATAGATTTTATTCGGATGCGTAGGTTAATAAAAAAATGCAGATTTCTTCAAAATATCCAAATGCTAAATAATACTTTAAGCCATTCAAGGTAAATACAAAAAAGTTACGGTATATCAGAGTTAATATTCCTCTATTAACTCTGGGTATATCAAGAGCAAATACCGTTTATTCGCCTCCTTTAAAAATCCTTGAAAAATAGGAAAGCTGAAAAATTCCTCGAGTTGTTCGGTTGAGTTATCTTGTTAAAAGGCCAACGTGTGGTTGATGTTCAATTTTTAGGAATGAAGAAATAAACCACCCAATCTAAGGATAATTTCCAACTTTAGATTTCACTAACAAAGATAACGAGCCAATTTTGTAGATTCTTCTTAATTCTTTGGTCAAGAAATTAAGTCTTTAAGCCATTTACGAAGCATCAAAAAAATTTGAATGGGGTCCTAATTTGTGAGGTTTCTCCGCTGATGGAAACGAGAGGCTGGCAGTGCAAATTGTGGCAGAGGGATTCTAGTTCCTTATGCATGTGCCGATGAAAGATTCCTTTTTCGGGAGTTTTACAGGACCCCAAGGTCCCTTCCGTTGTTGTTTTGGTAGGTATCTACCATCAACTTTATTCAGTTTAGGATATCATGTTTTGGAAACATTAATCTCTAGATTCTGTGATCGCTGTTGCTTTCTGATGTAACAGGCTAACGATTTTCCACAGAAGAAGCTCGCTATCGTACTGTGAAGCCAGCTTTTATTTGCTGACGGCTTGCAAATTCGTCTCAGCAACGCGGGAGAAACGGGACCTAGCATACCCCCGTTAAATAGGCTATTTTTGGACGCTTCGCTGGGGGTCGTATATATACAGAGGGTGTGGCGAGGCTAGGTTCTCAGCTCTTATAAGGCGGACTCCTTCGATAGCTTCGGAACTTCCGTTTGATTCTCGTTTAAGATTGTGTTTTGTCAGAGAAATTTACCAAAGAACACCGTAAATCGACTTCATTGAAGACTCCAACCTCGATTTTAAAGGGTTTGCTTTGATTTTGAGAGGAGCTCGAAGCCACGATGCAAGCAATCAAATGTGTGGTTGTCGGAGATGGGTTAGCAATCCTCTTGATGTGACCTTAGAGATATATAAATCGTGAATTTCTCTTCTTTGTACATTCTTTACTGGTTCAGTCGGTTTACAAACATTGAATGCATTATGATATTTTCTTTTACCGTTTGGACGCCTCTAATCGTTTTATTTCGGTGTTCAATGCTATCGTAATTTTCACCCTACCGGCGTGTGAAAATGATCAGCGTTCTTTTAGTTCCAGCATTCTGAAAACCTATCTTCGCTTATTTTAAATCCTTGTGATCTATTCCTTCTCTAAAAATTCGATCAAAACTATGTGTCATGTTCCTAATTGTTTGCTCGTTTTCTTTTAGTGCTGTGGGTAAAACATGTTTGTTGATCAGTTATACCACAAACGCTTTTCCGGGGGAGTATATTCCTACAGTGTAAGTATTTCTTTTTATCTTGTGCTCTTTCGCATACTTTGTTTACTGCCCATTTTAATTCAGCCGTCGAATCTGTCTCCACAGTTTTAGAACTGAGCGAAAGAATCGATCGATTGTTTCTGTGGTCGAAAAAAACAACTGTTCAAGTCAAGCTAGCTAATCTGAATTTTTTGTCCGTTTCTTTAGATTTGATAATTATTCTGCAAATGTTATGGTCGATGGCAAGCCTATAAATCTTGGTTTATGGGATACTGCAGGTAAGTTTAGTCATCATTTGATTCGTGGTTCGTTTTCTAAGCAAAAGAACACAAGACCTCTAACATGCTATCAAACGAATACATCAAGGTGACATTATTTAACAAACTTATCATAAATGGTTATTAATGGCAATTCAGATACACGTTTACCACAAAAGTTTTGGACGTATCGTTTCTACCCGGTTCTCCATTTATTCCCCAAGATCCTAGGAATCCTTGTAGGAATGGCAATTTATACTGTAGGCTCGAATTTGATTTCGATTGCTGTTGTTGATAGTCCGAGACTTGTTCGTAATTGTAGTCAAAAGTAGTCGTAGTTAAGTACGATGAAAGTATCAAAAATATGTTTCACTTTGGTTAACTAACATGATGGATCAACATTCAATTAAATCAGAAATAGAAATTAGGTAATCAAAGTTTACATGGAACAGTTATTATTGCCATAAAGAGCTCAAAATTTTTTATTTCCTTGCTGTAACGGATGGCATTGCATTTTCAAACAATAGGCTATGATGAAGCTCTTTGATTTTTTTTAAGATTCAGACAACACTCTTCTTTATAGCAGAGATGGGGGCAAAATGTACTCGCCTTTGTTTAGTATGATAAATAGACATAATTGTTTAAAGTGCTTCTTTGCTGAAATCAAGGATGAAACCATGCTAACTGCATCCCAGCATTCACACATAGACATGATATTTTCCTGTTTCCAGTAAAGAACAAATTCTTCTCTGCAAAGCCATCTGTTTGCTTAGGAGGCACTCTTGATTATTTTTATTTTAGAGGACACAAAAAGTGTTACTTTTTTCCTGATTTTCTCCTTCATTTTCCTTCCGAGGAAGAGTAAACATCTTAATACAAGCAGATGTTTTTCATTCTCGATAATAATGATCCAATATTATATATTCCTTTTATTGGAAGAATTGGTAGAACTTATATATTGTGCTATAACATATTGAATGGATATGGCTGAAGAAATGATAAAATAAATTAAATTGGTGGACTGATCAACCCTTGTGAAGTTAATGGCATTTTCAGATCAAGTGCGGCAGTGGTGCAGGAGGGGGGGTCCTGTTAGTTTTAAGGTTTTGAACTTGGCCTTGAGGGTGGACAGTACAGTAAGCTGGTTAACTTGTTATGTGTGTTAATTTGATGACATATATCCATGTTTATATCTTTTCTCTATAATTATCTGTCTTTGGTATTTTCTGGAGGAAATAGGATACAGAAACTTTTGAACCTCCCCAGCCATCCCCTCCATATTTTGCCAGGTTTCTGCTGGAAGTGCAACCTAAGCTGTTATCCTTTGGGAGTTTTAGTCTTGTTTTGTGAATTTAGACTAGTGCTTATTTTCAAGTTTTTGTTTCCTACAGGGCAGGAGGACTATGATCGCTTGAGGCCTCTCTCGTATCCCCAAACTGTGAGTCTAGTTTTCTTTGCCTTATAATAATAATTATTTGATAATAGTAAATCAGTACTATGGGTGAGCTTTTACCCAAAATGCAACAACAGGATGTCGTATCACTTTTCCACATAAAGTTTGGTTTTCTCCTCTGTGTCTGTTGGAAGGATCATTGTCTAAATATGTTAGATTTTTTTTTGACAAATATGTGCTTCATATTGAAGAAACTCATGGACATACCCTTGTAAAGTCAACAATAATGTAGTTTTAAAGATGTAAATGATTATTAAATTATTAAAGAACTGAATTTTCTTCTGTCATAGGACGTATTTCTAATATGCTTCTCATTAATAAGTCCAGCTTCCTTTGAAAATGTTCGAGCAAAGGTAAGTTTGGATTCTCCATTTCTGATGAAATGTTACAGTGTGTTTCATTAGCTATCTGGCCATTTTGTGTAGACCACCTTTGGAGTGTGTGTTCTTGAGTTTTTTGCTTGTTTACTTCATATATCGTTGTCTCTTTTTTTGAGGCAAATATCATGAAATGGTATGCTCAACCTAACAATGTTCATGGTATCAATTATAGACATCAGTAATTGATGATTAATAATCATACCAAACTGTCACTAGGTACTTTTGATTTCATCAAAACTCTACATACTGTCCTGACAGTGTAAATTACAATAACCTGTGTCTATTGCCTTCCATGAAGGTCATATTTTTTTTTTTCATTTTGAGCAATGAACTCCAAAACTGTGGTAACTTTTTACAGTGCCATCAACTTTTAGATTATAGTTTCCCTCAAGGGATAATGACAAATTTATAACCAACGGTGTGTGATATGATATGAAATGTACAGTACAATATTACAGATTGAAAATGTGATAATGTGATCAAGTATGGGTGGATGGGTTGTCTAGATAAGAACTGTTGTTGGTGACAGTTACTGCAAAGGTTGATCGAATAATAGTAAAGGTGAGATAACCTTTGATCCGCAGATTTGCAATTATAAGTGTATTTGTTCATTTATTGCATCAGCCTTAGTATCTAACATTAGTGTTATTGTTTATTGTTGTAGTGGTATCCGGAGGTAAGCCACCATTGTCCCAACACCCCAATCATCTTAGTTGGCACAAAGCTTGACTTACGGGATGACAAGGAAACAATTGAAAAATTGAAAGAGAAGAAGCTGGCTCCTGTAGTGTATACAGATGGCTTAAAAATGACAAAAGAAATTAGTGCACAAAAATACCTTGAATGCTCGGCTCTTACACAAAAAGGACTGAAAACAGTGTTTGATGAAGCAATCAGGGCAGTGCTGTGTCCAACAATTAAGAAAACGAAGAAGAAAGGTGGATGTCTACTGCTATAAATTAGAGACCATAGCTTTGGAAAAACAACCAGACAACTTGTAATGTGTGGATATTTCCTTGGTTTGGTCTGTTGCTACACATATCAAGCAATTTGTTCTGAAAAAGGAATCATTAATCTTTTCCTATTAGTTTATACTGAAATGAGAAAAATAGGTTGCTATCATGTTTTTTGATGTCCACTGAGTTGCAGCATGATCTGGGTACATTAATTTCATTTCTTTTAGTTTTTCCATAGTTACAAGAAACCAGAAACATAATTTACTAATTACTCTACATAGGGAATACAACATGTTAATGCAACAATTAACTTTCAAATATTTTTATGGCTTAAAAATAATTCTGTTCATTTTGTTGTCCACTAGTAGTGTTAGAAGAGAGTGCCCAGATGTTTATTCAGAGTGATAATACAGCTGTTATTCTTGGTTGTTTTGCAAGTACTATGTTCCCTCCTATTACACCAACCTTCTCTCCTCTCATTTGGAATGTTTCTTTAATTACAAGAAAGTTTTACTCCTTGCTGTCTGGCTGGCAGTGCTTTTACATGATTTTGCCTCAGAGGAATATGAGGTTAACATTACTGTGTGTTGATTTCCATGCTAAGCTGTCAGCTGTCTTGGTTAGGACTAGTGTTTTGTAGTTATTAGTTGACAGGGTTCTTGTTTGATGATTGATTTTGGATAATGTGGGTTTATTGAAGTGCTTTTTGTAGTGTTAATGGGAAGGTGTGTGATCAATCTGTTTAATTTGCACATGGAGAGCAAGAGATGAGGCTGGATCCCATATACACTGGCAAGCAGTGCTTGCTCTAACTTGTTTACAGACCCATGTCATGTCATTATTAAATGGAAAGTTATCAATACTTAAAAGCACAGCACCTCATAAGTTTAGTCTTTGAAATCTCCACTAATAGTGATTTTTGCGTTGGGTTTTTTTTAGTAAACTGTGAAAAAAATGAAACAAAAAATTAATTTTTCAAATTATAATTTTGAAAGTGCAACTGTCACACTTGGTGGTCTTGCTTCAGGGTCTGTTGATTTTTATTGTTTTGTTATTGCCTTAGTTGATTTGAGTTGCCAGCTGGATAGCTAGGGTTATTTGCATAAAACTAGCTGTCCGTCCTACATATATATCAGATTGAATTGCGAACTGTAAGGACTTTGATTCATATTCAGGGATCATAACAAGCCATATCAGAATTTCCAATTTGCAAGTTTGTAAATAAGATAATTATGGCTTTCAAATGGCATGAGGATTAGAACTGCTTTTTGGAATGGTAATTGAGGAGTTGGTCTGTTTTGCACTGGGATTTCTTGATGCAATAACTTTAAATGAAGTGTGGACAATCTTCCCTGCAACTTTATAATTTTATATGTACATGTAGGGTATTGTGTAGGCAGTAACATCTTGTGAAATTCGTGTTATATTTCTACCTTACATTCAAGATTTTGGCCTTACTTATGTAATAAAAGATCAAGAAATCATGATATGTCTCTTGTTTAGATGAAAATGGAAGGTGTTTGTACAAGTTTCCAGGTTGTAATACCCCAACTCTCAGCACGGCAGCTTGAGACGTACAATTTTTCTGGGCTGAGGTTTGTTAGTCCTGTGGGTCTTCTTCTTTCCTTGTTGCCAATCACTCAGGCTGGCAGATTGTGTCTGTAGGGCCTTAACTATCTTGATTTGCTGTAGAAAAGGACCAAACTAAAGGTAGAATATTCTGATGGAAGAAAGAAAAGAGTACCTGTTTGGTATCCAAATTCAGAGAGGAAATAAGTGGTGAGGAGATTTACATGTAAACTGACCTTTTTTCTTTCTTTTCTTTTTAAGGGTGAAATAAAAATTTGAAAGATACCTGATTACTGGACAAAGTGTATTATTATTTTAGTTCCCAGCAAGTTCAGCCCCAAATTTTCTCCGCTTTCTGTTTCATGATTATTGTTCTATTTTTAGTTCCTCCCCTCTTGAGAGTGTGGTTTGGGTGAAATAAGTTCCTTTTGCTTTCATCTTGGCATCTGCAAGCAAATGATGAAGACCATCGATGAACAAACGAATTGTAGTTTTTCCATAAACGATGCCTTATTTTACGAAATGTTTAGCGATAGCCTCCAACACCATTGGCTCATTTAGTGGAGTAAATTCTGGATTATTTCAAGGTTCGCCAGTTTCTATTCCGCGATTTTCCGGTTCTGTAATGTTACGAATATTTTCTTCTGACTCAAATGGCTTTATTTTAATATTCTGTAAGTGAGAAAGATGTGATAGAAGGTAAAAAAAAAAAAAACCCGAATTGATATCTGGTTTTCTGATGTGCCTTGGGTAAAGTATTTTAAATCATATAGACTATTTTCCAACGGAAATGTTCGTCAACTACATTATATTTTGATCTTTAAGCCAGGAAAAAGGAACATTAATCGTGTAGTATGTAAAGGCAAGCCTAAACAAGTAGTTATTTCTAAATTCAATACAATCGAAATGTAATCATTTCCCATTTGCTCTCTGACTGTCGTAAATACAACTGAAAAGGTGTCCTGCGTATAGCCCACACAAAAAAATAATTGTTATGGTATAGTATGGTGGGTTCATTAGCCTCGTTATGTGTTCAGTTCAGACCAAAAGGCTAACCCTACAAATACATATGTACATCATTATAGTAATGATCGTTCCAGATTCGAATTTTCAACTTAGGAAAGGATGGCTTTTGTTTCGGGAAGTTATGTTTGGTTATAGCTAAATAAATTAGACGTGAATTACGGACAGAGCTTTGTTTCTCGGATGTCGAAAGTGTCATAATCACACCATATATAGAGTTTGTTTTGCAATAATGACGTCAAACGGAAGCCAATACAAAACAATAGTGGGATCGTCGGAAGCGCCTATCAATGACGTATGTACACTCAATTTAGAGCGTCTAGTGGGGGCTTTCCTTGATGCAATTTTATTGGTTGCTATATTAGCCTATTGTCTTGTAATTATGTGAAATGATTCTCATTGGTCAATAATGACGTCGTTGTCTATCTTAGAAACCAATCAGCGATGAGATTTGCGAAGAGGATGCAAATAAACTTCGTCTCCTTTTCATATGTTTCGCTTTACCTTCCTACCTATCTCGAAGTGGAGAATTGTAAGGGGAGCATTTTATATATTTTTTTAATAAAATCCTATTCAACGAAAGGCCAATGGAGCTTGAAATACAAGTCGCTGTTAATTTTCTCATTGGCTACCTCGTCAATAAACTGCCACGTCGAAGAGTACAGCTTTTTAAGGAGGAGGTTGTGAAGAAGCTGACGAAGAAATTCGAAGGCCATTGGTACCCCGAAAAACCATGTAAAGGAAGCGGATACCGTTGCCTTCTTATAACTGATAGCCTAGATCCTGTGTTGAGTTCTGCCGCAGAGGCAAGTGGACTTAGCGCAAAGGATGTTAAAGCCAATTTGCCGGAAAAGCTCTGTCTGTGGATCGACCCACACGAAGTATCGTTCAGAATCGGTGAGTGTTTTCTGAGCCCAATTCTAAATTATGGCATTGTTACTTCGCAGCTACTTGTCTTAGGTTTTGGAGAGTATATTTCGCCAAGTTTCGTTATCCTTTGTTATTTACTCTGAGGAGGGATTTTTCTTTGGCTGATATCGCGAAAGGAATCGTTTAGAACGCGTTCGAATATTCGATTGAATAGAGTCACGTAGTTTGAAAATGCATGCGTAAGCAAGTCTCGAGTTCGCTAAGGACTTGCTTCGGTAAGCGTTTCTTTAAGTTACTTTTTTTTTAAAGGTTATCCTGTTAAAGCGTTTCTTTTCGTTGTGGTCAGATTGAAAGCCCGTAACTCGATTTTCCTGGTAAATAATTGCCCACGCGTGTGCCTTCTACCAAATGTCTTCTTGGTTGTGTATGCATGACTAATGTTTCTTTTCGTTTGTTCTTCGTGTAGGCGAACAAGGGTCCGTGAAGACGATCTATAAAGCAGAAAAGAAACCTGAAGCAATTTGTGACGAAACCACTCGCTGGGTGAACCTTTTAAATGGTCACAACAGTGGTAATTCAAACAGCCCAGTTCCATTCCGTAGTCAAAGTCCTCCAAGAATCATGGCGGACCGTTCTTCCCCCGTGTTTTCATCCGCCTCCAGTTCTTCACCATCACCTCCCTTGTGCAACTCACAATACATGCCTTACAATAGCTGGAGCGCAGCAGAAGAGTCTTCTTTTTTCAAATTCCGGGCGAAAAGAGCTTCTCCGACATCTTTGTCACCAAACGCAAAAGAGTTCAATTATCGGACCCCGTGGGACAACTTCAGCTATGGAGTGCAGCAAAACAGTGGGCTGGATACCACTCGTGGCGCCTTCATTTCTTCTTCTTTTCTAGACTGGTTTAACCACCACGAGATAGGAAATTTCAACGCTGCTGCCCAGCTACCAATATTAGCCTGAGAAAGGCTAAGTGTTGGGTATACGGAGTTGGACATTTCAATTTAAAGGTGTTTAAATAATATTTGTATAGATAACTATAGGAAAAAGATGTTGTGAAATTCATCACAGAAGAATTGTAAATTTTTATTAAATAAGTTACAGTATTTCTCCAACGCATGTACATTTGTACAAAAACGTTTTGTTTATAAATATAAAATGTATAGTGTTTCTTATAAGAGATGTATGAGGTATTTTGTTCATGTTTCAAAGAAACTATGAAAGAAAAAATAAAGCCACAATGGTGTTGAATTTATTATTGGATTGTATTTAAAAATTTTGAAGAAAGAGGAATAAAGTTTGCATATGATTTATCTATCTATCTGTTTTTCTTTTCTTGTTTTGAACCACCACATCACAAGTTTGGAAGGGATATGATATTAGATGCCGACACAACAGAGTAGGGTTGGAGGATTCTGTTCCACAATGCTTAAAAATTTTCTTCAAGCTTCATACACAATTCAGTCTAGTTTGGTTGAAGAAATTTTTCTGTATCTCTGTGGTTTTTGTGTGAGTGATGGTGTCCTAAGGTAACATTCATTGAAAAACTTGTCAAAACATGTTCAGGCTGGTCAATATTGGGGAACATTCTATGTAAATGTTGTGGATAGTGTTAAAACATGTTATTCAATGTGGTTCACACTGGTACAAAGCTGTGCGTATGAAGTCAAAGAAACCTGAGCGGAGCAGGTGTGGGTTGTAGAATGTGTTCTCTTTTAATTACCTTTTATAGAGTAATAGTCCATTAAATTACCTGAGAATTGACTGATATCACATTGAGTGATTGGCAGAGGATATTGTTAAAAAGTCAAAATGAAAAAAAAAGAATAGGGGATATCTAAGAATTTTAACCTCAGCTATATTATAAAATTACAACTAAAGATTATTCAATTTATTGAAAAAGCTATTTTTAACTAGTTCTGGAAGATTTTTTTACATAAATAGGAGACCCTTGATATAGGGCCAACCTCTGGGTTTCCTTTTTCTTAATAACTATGTATTTGCATGTTGTTCTGAAATAAAGTATTGTATAAAGTAGCTTTTGATTGTTAGACAAATTCTCCCTGTCAGCATTTTGGAAAATGAAAATAGAACAGTGTGGAAAAGTGCATACTGACATTAGGGTGTAAACGGTGTAAACGGTGTAAATGTAGCTTTACTCTTTATTACCCATTCCCAGAAACTTTCTTTCACCTTGCTACCGCAATATATTGTACAGCGGCTGATCTCCAATCGCACGCGTAATACTTTATTCTGTTTTGAGATGAAAGGCGGCAAATACCACTAAGGCACTAAGGCACTAAGGCAAGAGGAACATTTGAATTAAAATATAGATCTCCTTTAACACCAAAACCGATTTTGGGCTGTACCTTTCACTTAACCATTCTCAATTTATTTTGAACGACTAGATTATATTTATTCTGAGAAAGTCAAACATAACTTAATAATGAAGGACGTTCGGATATTGCTGGTTGGCGACCGTAAGTAAAATAACTTGTTGTTGTTTTGGTTTATGTTACGATCAGAAGAAGTAAAAAATGCTTCAACATTTATGTGTTAATGTACTTTGAAATGCTCTTCATATGACAGCACAAGTCGGGAAAACGTCGCTTATTCTGTCGCTTGTAAGCGAGGAATTTCCTGAAGAGGTAAGCTAAACAAGGTGCAGTATAGTCACGCAGGGCATGTCCAAGCGGAACTTCTGTTATTATATTTATCTAATAAAGATCTACATCCGATCCTTCATTTTCTTGTCTCTCTTGGAGTGAACATACAGAGACTAATTTGTACCACTGGATTGCTTAAGCGTTGCAGCATCTTGTGCACCTGTGATTGCACAACTTGTACGTCAGGGGCCGAGGAAATGAACATTGACAGCTCGCTGCTACAGTTATTATTTCCTCCAAGTTTGTGACAATCCCTCTCGTAGCAAAGAAGATAAGTCATTCCCAGATCTGTTATGGGGAGAAGAAAGGGAGCTCTTTATTACTCTTTACCAAAGGAAAAACATATTGTATGAAATATTGATTTACATATAATTATCGGCTTAGAAAGAGAAACTAATTGAAAGTAAGCGGCAAGATTTCCATATAACCCCATACATTAATTATGCATAAAGTGTTGCAAAGAAACCTTTAAAAATGGATTGCATAATGAAAGAATGGGGTTCTATGGAAATCTTCCCAAAGTTTGCAAAATGTCTGTTTGATAGTTTTGATGGCTATCACTATGAATCTGTTTACTTTCTTACCTTTTTTCCCTTTAGGATTAACTTAGTTTTCTGCTGTTGAGTTATCTCATTTATATTTTTGAAGGTCCCTGCCAGGGCAGAAGAAATCACTATACCAGCTGATGTGACACCTGAAAAGGTCCCAACACATATTGTGGACTTTTCTGGTCAGTAACACTATGATTGTGCATCACAGAGGGGAGGGGATATCAGTGAACTGCCACTGAAATGTGTGAAATACAGCTGTTGGGAGGGGGGTGGGAGGTTAAGGTCAGATAAACGAGTGCAGTACCAGTCAGGGTGTAGCCACTTAATTGAAGTAGCGTGTTCTAGGAATGTGCATGGTGAGTAAAAAAATGACAAACCAGTAGATAAGAGACATCCTGACTCCCTCTTCCTTCACTAGTTTTCATCCTCACTACACCTCTCTTGTACTTGTCCTGCCCTTTCCTCCATATTACTGGTTCTACATAGGGGCTAAAACAGCCAGCTGGGGAGATTTCAGACATGTTCTCTTGGATAAAGATGTATTTCCTTTATTTTATTTTTTTAAAGATTTGTATTATTTTTATTACTAGAACTTGATCAGTCGGAAGATATGCTGATTGATGAGATTGTTAAGGTAATATTCAAACCTTGAATAATTATACACTATCATAGTACGGGTATACAAAGTCTTCTTTTGTAGCATTCAGTACCTAGAGTTTTAAATATGAATATCTCACAATTCAGTGGATGTTCACTGAACCGAATTGTAATCCTGTATTTATTTTATTTTGATGGCAGCCTGCCCTTTTAGCCCTTTCACTTTCATGTTGTCCTAGGAGATAATTATCTTACTTATCCTTATCTTTTTTCCTGAAAAAAATCTATTGATAACAACAGGAGAAATTCATGTCATTTTTTATCATTTCTACTGAGGTGAAGGGTCACGATCAGAGCTTGGCACAGTCATGTGACTCCAAACCTATTGCAGGATGTGATTAATTTTTTTTTAATTAATCCTCTTCGTGTCACCAAGAGACACATAAGGCCTCGACCAGAGTTCGCCATTGATGTCTGGCGGGTGCTTGCCGCTCCAGGTGCCCCCAAGTCCAGTTGTTGTCCTTCATTTCCCTTTCCACCGTCCTCCTCCAGGTTGTGATAATCATTAAGAAATTTGAAAGTTTTTTTTTGCGTAATGGGACAGAAAATATTATTAGTCATTGTCCAAATGTGATTTGACAGGCCAATGTAGTGTGCGTGGTTTATGATGTCACCTCAGAAGAATCACTTGAAAGGGTGAGTGTTAATCTTATCTCAGTCTTTATTGAGGGAAAAAAAAAACATTTCGTAGCTTTTAGGTTATCTGAGTTAGTTTAGACAAAGATTGTGCTTACAGTATATGTCAACATACCCTTAACTTCCTCAAACATTTGACAACACATATATTTGATAGTTTTCAGGAGGTTCCTAGGAATTAAAGAATGATTTAGTTTGTGAGACTTAAGTTTCACTTGTCAGCAGTGAAATGATCAACATAAAGATAAGAATTCAGTGGGAAGCAATAAAGTCTGGTTTAGTTCCATCAGAATCTCCATTATCATAAATCTGAATCTGATAGTGTTTTTTCATGAAATAAATTCAATTTGACCTGCGGATGGAAATCGACTAAAGCAGTGATCCTGGCAGGCAGGTGAGCTGCAATTTAAGTAATTGCAGAGAAGACGCTTGAAAAAAATTCAGGCTTTGACAGAATTTAAACCTAGGCCTCCCTGATATTAGTTGGGTTCCAGTATCAACTGAGCTACGAAGGGACATTTTGGGGGTGGGACATGTACATGGCTCTTCTTTCCATGGAGTTATCTGAATCATTGATAATCATGAATGACAAATAATCCTTTACACCGTCAGTAATATCACTAGAGCTACAAATTATACATGCTCTTCTCATGACATTTTCCTTGCTGCTGACAAGAAGAATTTGTGTGATTATCAAGAGCTTCTTTAGTTGGTGATCATTTTTTCATTGTTGTGACCATAAAGTTTGATCTTGAGATTATGTTGCAAGGAGAAATTAGATGCTAGTCTCTCCGAGGAATCCAAGGGTTGAGGAGAGGCTCATTCAAGGAAAAAATTAAGAATGGAGATAACATTTTTGTTTACAATGTACCATTTTGATTCGGTGTCAACTCACTCTAAACCACTTGATTTGAATGTGAGTTTGCATTTTTTTTTTTTTTTTTTAACAGATAACTTCTTTTTGGTTACCCCTGATCAGACAAACTGGAGAGGAAGATAGTTCAAAGCCTGTTATTATCGTTGGCAACAAGGTAGTATAATTTGTATCTCATTGCTTTTACGATACAGACTGCTGCTTGATTCACTTCATACCCTATTGGAGGTGTGGGAGGGATGTGGATATGTTGTAGTATTAAAGAATCTTGCATAGGTTGTGTCAAATTTTGATGACATGTAGAGAAAACCGATTGGCTCATAGAAGGGTTTTTCTTTTTAAATATATTTTTGAGATTTAGAAGAAAAATGTAATTGTTTGTCTCAAAATGTGGTCACTTGGAATGTGGATTACAACATTTCAACTGCATACTGTTAGTCTTCATCAGGCGGATTGGATTGTAGCCTGAAGAAGACTAGCAGCATGCAGTCAAAACATCGCAATTCACATCTCAAGTGACCACATCGTGAAACAAACAGTTATATATTATCATCTAAAATGTTCTTTACCATGATGAATATAACCACAACCTATTTTATGATATATTTTTAAGATGCTTGTTCAATTTTATGACTACAAGTATTTTGTATTTATTGAGTCACATAATGATATAACACTAGGATTATAGAACCCTTGTCACCATTGTCAACACACTTTACCCTTTACCTCCATTGTTAATGTTAGTCATAAGATAATTTGACATAAATCTGTAAGGAGAAAGGTCATGAAACTTTGAAAGAGTAGCAGGCAGTTAAAAAAAATTGAATGTTGTACTCAGTTTCTTTTAAATAACTTGTTTGACATGATATAAGTAACAATCATTCCACAAGCGCGCGTTGGATATGAGATGATAGATAGCCAACGAGGCGCATAGCGCCGAGTTGGCTATAATCATCTCATATCCAACAAGCGCGAGTGGAATAATTGTTTTATTAAAAACGTTAAATTAAATTATTAAATTTTATTAAATTTTTAGCTCCCTTTTGATTTTAAGCTGACGCGTACGCTTACCATATTTGTAGATTATGGTATATTGGCTCATATACCATAATGGCTAAGGCAATAAAAAGTCTTGAATTGCATTGTCCAATGATCCAGTTTTTAATAATGTCTTTTATTATTTATTTTTATTGCATTACAGTCAGACCTTATGGAGGGAAGCACAATGGATGTAAGTGTTTGTGGGCTAACAATATATAATTATGGTTGTAAAAAAATATTTCCCTAGGAATTTAAATATTTTTATCAATGTTTAATGAGGGCTAGGATGTAGAATAATAATTCATGATAATAATTGAATAGAAAAGAACAATTTTGGAAATGTAAAAGCTAACTCAAGTTTCAATTTTTGAAAGCATTTTATGTGCTACCATAAGGTCTCTGACTGGAGAAAATTTCTCATTATTTTCTTGCATTAAAAGTGAAAGAAAAAAATGACAGATCCTTGTGTACTTAGATGAGTATGTAGTGTTTAGTAAACCACTCTGATGCATCAACCATCTGTATGTTCCTTCTGTATGAAATTATGTTAAAAGTGTCTTGTAATGCTTCAAGTCTAATGAAATTCGTTCAACTATTCTGTAATTCCTAAATAAATGTAACTGCTTTGTTGTAAGGGAAAGAAGTCTGTAATTAGGTCCTGACAAAGGACTAATAATCTAAAACCAAATTATTAGTAGTATTTGTGATATTCTTTTTGTTTTTGATTAAGACTGTCTTACCAATAATGAATGATTATACAGAAGTGGAAACTTGTGTGGAGGTAAGTATCTAGCAATTGCAAAAGCAGAGTTATTCAACTGACATACAAAACTGAATCACTACTAGGGAAGGTTAAAGGTAAATCTTGTGAAAAACCTGGCAATTGTTCTTTTGCTTTCAGTGCTCAGCAAAGGATCTGAAAAATATATCTGAGATGTTTTACTATGCACAGAAGGCAGTCCTTCATCCTACAGCTCCTCTCTTCTCCGCTGAAACCAAGGAGGTCTGTATCAACAGTGGGTCCCTCCGGAAAATGATTCACAATTGACAAAAAGTACATATTAAAGATATATTAATTGCTAGATAAATATAAATAATAATTTAAAAGGAATAAGAACAGTCACATGGTATATTTTTTTACCTTGGGACTGTGTGAATAGCCATGTGAAAAATTGTGCAGATCTGTGGCAATCTACTTTTTGCTGCCAATTTAAAAAAAAAAAAAAAAACAGTTTATATTTGTTGTCTTGTTTGTTGCAGTTAAAGCCATTATGCCAGGCTGCCCTCACAAGAGTTTTTAAGGTACCTTTGAAGTATTCCTCTGTTTGAATTTAAATGTACTGGTATTATATTTTTGTTCACGAATGGCAATTTGAAAAAGAAAATAAATACAAAACTTATTCCTTCTTTCATATGTAGATATCAGATAAAGATAATGATGGCTTATTGAGTGACAACGAATTGAATGAGTTCCAGGTTAGTTAGCACCCCATACTTTGTAATTTTTCTTTTTATTAAAAGCCAGATGTTTAAAGCATTGGCTGTTACCATTTTTTTGCGCCCTTGTAATGTTCTCGATACTCTCTCTGTTACCATTCATCCATACTGCTAGAACCGATGTTTCAATACCCCATTGCAAGGTCAAGGTTTACAGGATGTTAAAAATGTTGTCAGAAAGAATGTTGAGGGAGGATTGCAAGATGGTGGACTTACATTAAGAGGTAACATCATAGTGCTCCACAGTGTTTTCTTTAGACTGACAAACATATTGGACAATAGAACCCAAGGCTGATGCTAGAGTACAGAGGCAAGCTTGTGATGGGCTAGCATTACAGTCAGGGGGGGTTAGTGATGCTCCCAGTCACTTAATTGTAAGGGAAACTGGATAAGGTCGGGCTGGGGGGGGCACTTGGCTTGAGTACACACTTTACCTTTCACCTTTACTTTTTGATAATATTCACTTCACTAAATCAATTAATAATTGTGAAGTATTTTTGTAGGTTTCTTGTTTCTTCACACACTCTTTATCCAGAGGGGGAGACATGAAACAACATGGACTGTTCTCAGAAAGTTTGGATATGGTGATGATCTTAAGCTCAGACCTGATTATTTATGTCCTACGTAAGTTGACATGAATTTGCATTCAATGAGTTGTAAATTGTAGAGAAATTAAGCTTTCTAAATATATGATATTGTTACAGGATTGACATGGGAGCAGATCAAACAGTGGAATTATCAGATGCAGGATATCAGTTTCTTATTGACCTCTTCCAGAGACATGACAAGGTGTGTATGAATACCATTAAGGGTCAGCAGTTAATCTTGTGAATGTCCTTATCAATGCATTATTTTACAGGGGAAGATAAACAGCTTATTACTGCTTAAACATAGGTTATAACTAGGAACTGGAACACACTTGATCTTATGGCTGCTAGATGTATTAAAGGAACAACAAACAAGTGATCTTTAATTTTTTTGCTTTCTTTTGCCCATGAACCAATCATTCTTATGTTATCGTAGATCACTGAAAATTTATAGAACATAATTATAGTTCCAGTGATTTTTATGGGTTGTTTAAAGGTATGTCCTTCTTAATGACCATGATTCTGGGATTATCTAACACCTTTGGGTAACAGTGAACAGTGGTTCCCATTTTTGGCTGTTGGTAACTTGTCGTCCAACTGTCGGCCAACAGGTTACCGACACATTACTGACAGTCCGCTGACAGTTTTAAGTAGCCCAAAGATTGACCGAAAACAAAGTCAAACTTTTTGAGTTGAAAACAGTAAATAAAAATCAGTCAATCAAACCGTTCATACCTACATGTATCTGCTTGATTCTATTTAAGTGGTAAAATAGGCTTGTTTAACCAATCTGCCGACTGTACGTACCAAAATTTACTACTTTAGTACATATTTCTGATATCTTTGTTTGTACACAAAATAGGCTTAGCTTTTCCAATTTGCAGTAATTTGAGTAGTTTTTCAATCACCCTATAACTCATTGCAAAACTATATTGTTTGTTTTCTAGGATGAAGATGAAGCCCTGCGTCCGGAGGAACTTCAGGTGAGAAAATAATATGAGAACAAATCAAGATGGATTTTAATAATGTAATTATCATCATAATTTATGATGGGGAAAATTTTTGAAGTTTTTAGATTGTTTTCTGTTTTCTTCTCTAGGCACTGTTTGGTACCTGCCCCACAATGCCTTGGGGTGAAGATGTTCTTAGTTCTGTTGAAACTAATGCAAATGGATGGATAACTCTCCAAGGATTTCTAGCTCAGTGGGCGTAAGTGCTACTTTGAATTCCTCTATCCACCCAAAGGTTTAACAAAGGGATAACCTGTGAGGCAAATATGTGACAGAAAGATTAGCTGCTCGATGATGTAGGTGGTTTGTGATGCTGTGGGACAGAGACAAACAAAGAGGTCACTGGGATGTCACTTATCTGTTGGCTGGGGAACAGATACGCAGGCCTAAATGCTGATTTGCATTTTGTAAGCATTTCTCATTCTTTGGGGTGAATTTTTAAAAATTTTGAATGACTGGTGTGTCAGTAATGATGATAATTCTTAAAGAAAAAAAAGACTACTGGACAATCTACCAATTGCCAGTAATGATGAGCAAGAAAAAATGGCCTCTGTTGTTTTCTGTTATCATTTTTCAACAAATTTGGGAGTTTTTCATTTCCAAGATGAAGGGTTTTTTTTCTTTTTCATTTGTAGGTTAACGACTTTCTTGGATTACACCAGAATGTTAGCATATTTAGCATTCTTTGGTTACGTTCATCAGGAAATTGAAGCTTCCCTTTCCACTGCAATAACGGGTAAAAAAAAACAACAACAACAAAGCATGCTTGAAAAGCTCATACTATTCTCAGCCAGTGAGAAAACTCAATATTTAATAAATAATTTTTCATATATCCGGAAGTGGAAATGTTTCAGTCAAAGCCATTTTCCGGGAAAACATAAGTTGAATTTTTTTCAATGATTTTCCTATTTAAAGAATGACATTAAGATTAAAAACTGAACAAATCAAAAAATGTAATATTAACCTTCTGAATTCATGTTGTCAACCAACAACCAAGAAAGAAAAGTACTAGCATCTAATCCCTGTGATCCTAAACGGTGACTAGCATCTAATTTCTCCCTACAATATCACTCTTGAATAAAATGCTGTGGTGAGGAGAATAAAGGAAATGATCGCTAACTAAACAAGCTTGTGGTCATTAGACAAATTCTCCTTGTCAGCACCTTTAACTGGAAATGACTTGTGTATAAATCCATAGTGAACAGTGTGGAGAATATGTGTGCTGATGCTAATGGTAGGGTGTAAAGGGTCAAAAGAAACTGTTTTGATTTAAAAGTGAGAGACATTGCCAGGCTCGACACTAACTTTTCAACTTACTAGCCAAGTGGCTAATGACTACTTAGATGTTAGAAGAATTTCAGTTTGTTTACTAGCCAAACTGGCTAGTGGTAAGCGAAAACTTCTGGCCAAAACTGAATTTCTACTCCTCTGTGGCTAGTTGGCTAGCGTTAGTGTCGAGCCCTGTATTGTCATGTGCACTTGACAGAAACCCGTTTCATGCAGAAGTATTAACTTAAAGAATTTATATTTCGCCTCCAATAATGTCATCCTGCAGCCGTGTAAACAGAAAGTTAACTCTACTTGATTCCCTACTAACTGTTGTTTTCTTTCTTTTTTTTTCACCCATCTCTTCCAGTCTGTTCTCCTCTTCCTTTCACTCTGGTATCTTCTGTCTCTCGCCTCATTCAGATGCGAAAAAAGTTACGCCTTTTACCTTCTTCTTACTCTCAGTGGGGCCAGGCGAAAACTCACCTGGGTATTTACTACTTGTCAAGAACGTTTGATCCTGAAATAAACTTTTGTTGTAAATTCAATAACCTCTCAACACTAAAATTGTGACTTAAATATGATTATCATTCAAGTAATCTATCAGTAATGAAAACAATGAAGAAATTAATTATTTGAGGTAATAGATGCAGGGGTTGAGAAACTTGACAAACACACTTTGATATTTTGTTCTGTTCTTTTCATTTCTGTTTCTTTACTTTTCTTTTTCCTCCATCCACTTTGCTTATTTCCTTTTTATTTTTCTACTTTTCGTCGTGAGTTTTGTCGATACATAACAAATATTTCATTCATTTATAATTTGATTTTGCTTTTAATTATTCGTTCATTTATTCATCTATTTATTGTTTTATTTCATGTTATTTATGCGTGTGCACAGATATCCCAAAATTTATACCTTTAACAACAGGTGGAAATGACATAGAGTTTTCAGTTGTGATGAAGATTGCCGTCCTTTCTAATATTTAACGGTTTCGTGCAAATTTAACCATATCTGTAATTGAAAGTGCTAACCGCTCGTAGGCACAGGCTAACAGCCTGACTTTCAATTTATTCTTTTCCTCATATTATAGTTACTCGAAGCAAAGCTGTTGACTTACAGAAGAAACAGACATCTCGCTCTGTATTCCAGTGTTACGTATTTGGACCACCAGGCGTAGGAAAGGTACCACCCTGTTGAGTTTTAATTTTGTTTCTACAGCAGTAATTGTACCGTCTAACAAACAGCTGTTACGGTAGTTTGCGCGCCCCGCTGAGAAGATGGCAACAAGCTTACAGCAGTAACGAAGATTTAGATACTTTAATTAACTATTTTTGACGCAAAATATTCTGTTTTTCGTTCTACAGACATCTTTCCTTCAGGCATTTTTAGGGCGAACCCTTGAGGTAAGGGTGCCATGAACTTCAATTCGTTCACTAACGTTCACTTGCAGTAACCTTCAGACTATACTTACAGGCACCAAGGATTTGTCATGTAATCGATAAAATGTTCTTGTCACCCAGGCTTTGGCAAATCGTCAGGTGGAGCTTGAGCTGTCTTGGTTGATGTAATTCTGGGAAGAAAGTCATCTTAGTCAACAAATTATGCACAATACAGCCCGGTGACTAAAGCTGACCATCGCATTTCTTTTTTTCTGACTGATCTTTTCTTTCTTGGTTTAATTGCATTGTAATTATTTTAGTTAAAGCTTTTTTCTACTCCTGTAAATTCTTCACGTCTTTTTTGCTGACCTTAGGCTATTTAAGCCCCCGGCTTTGGCTGTTCTTGTGTACTTTTCTTCCAATATGTGAATAGCAGGAATAAAAAATAATCATGTATCACCTCTTAAAGGTGTTGACATCGTAAACAATTTTAAGATCATTGCACTTTTTGAGACTCGCCTCAGTCTTGTCTATAGTAATCTTTCCGCACTGGAAAACTTCACTAAGTGCTTTGAAAAAAAAAAAAAAAATCAAAAACAAAACAGACTGTTTATGCTTCTTCAATTGCTTTTATATCCTACCACTTCAAGCACCAGATTACCTTTGTTACTTTTTATTCTTAGCCTGGCGAATTAGAGAAGGAATTATCAAACTATGCCATTAATCTACTTGAAGTGAACAGGCAAGAAAAATACTTAGTGGTGAGTAGAAGGACTAAACTTCCTATAACCTGCGTTATATCGGTACACTCGAGTAGACAAGGTGTTCTCTTTGCGACAAGTTTACTTGTGAATTCTTTCAGAGTGGGGACCTTTTTAAGCGCCAGTCAGGCGAATTTCCTTTTTGTGACCGGTTTTGTTGTCGCTCTCAGTGTTTTTATGGTAAGTTGGTCATCAGTTCATGGGAAGAATTTGTAGATCTCTCTGTAGGGGTGAAATATTACCAACGGATTAATGGCTGTCCTCGTTCCAGCAAGTGCTGAGTGGTCATTTTCGTGATCAGCCGCTTTGATGAACATTTTTTCAAGGTAATTTGGTTTTATCAACTAAGTTCAAATTGTAAATTGGCCACCGTAAAGAGTTAAAAAGCTGACGTTTCGAGCGTTAGCTCTTCGTCTTTCGCTCTGACGAAGGGCTAACGCTCGAAAGGTCAGCTTTTAACTCTTTACGGTGGTCAATTTACAATTTCAATTTAGTTTATAAAACCAAATTACATTTTTAAGGTAGTTTGTTTCAAGTTTGTCCACTGGTCTTTTCTATTTTGTTTCTTGTTTATTTGCTTCAGCTACGTGAAATCGAATGGGAAAATTCTGGATTTCTGTTGCACGACAGACGATGTGATGTGGCCTGTTTTATTTATGACTCGTTGGATCCAGCTTCGTTTACCCAAGTGATACAACTGCGAGAGGTACATTGATGTAGCACACTCGAGTACTATGCTGTGGATTTGCCGTTTCCAGTTACTGATGCGCAAAATTATTTCAAACTAGGTCGTGTAAGGCTAAGTTTTGTGCTCGGGAGTTTTGATTTTGAACGTAATCTGGAGGAACCTACTGGAGTAAAGTAAATATATACCGCCGCTATGAGTACTTGGTGCGTGATAGAAGTCTGTGGCACTACGTGGATCCTACAAAGAATTTAAAACAACGACTCTGTCAGATTACAAGTGCAACTTCTTTTCATGTTTCTAGAAACTTCCCAAAACAGTTCCTTGTATGTTAGTTGCTGGTAAAAGTGAAGGCGTAGCAGCTAAACAGGTAATGAATTCCAGAAATTTTCATTTGTAAATAGATTTGATCAAAACTGAGATATAGGAAATAAATCACAGTTGATGGGCGGATGACGCATTGTGTATTGCATTTTGTAGGATTTTGAAATGCAGCCGTCTTTGTACTGCTCGTTAAACAAGTTACCACCACCTCAGGTTAGTGATTCTTTGTTTTTCAAAGCAAACAGTTTAACATGTTCATGTAGAGCTGCCATCCATTGACTTCATTCTACAATCTTTCAGTGTTGAACAACTAAATGGAACACGTTGCAATTCATCGAGAAATA